GTTTAGAGCCCTAGCGCCTGTCGCATGAGAAACCTACAAGTTTCTCGCCACTAAACAGCACCACCTTGCCTACTAGCAATATATATATATATATATATATATATATATATAGTAGTAGTAGTCGTCGTCGTAGTACCAGCAGGAGTAGTAGTAGTAGTAGTAGTAGTAGCAGCAATACCAATAACACCCATACTAGTAACTAGTAAGTATTCGGGGTTGTCAGAATCAGGCCTTCATGCAGACACACAAGACCCAAAATCCTGTGCTCCGAAACTCCATCAAACTCTATGACAGGTGATAGAGCTTCGACACAAGGGTGCATAATGGCCAAGAAGCTTTGGTTCACAAACCCTTAACGCTCAGAAACGACTTTGACTCCCGGACTTGGGTGGTTTGGGAGATGAGCCCCCCTTGCCCTCGAGAGCTGTGATGTGCTCAACCTTGATTCTGCCTGTGGCGCTCATGCCGTGAAAACCCGTGAACGCCCTAAAACCAAGGACAGGCGGCTCGTTGATCCACAGCCCTTTGCACTTGATACCTGAGGCTGCAGGCTTAAGGTGCGTCCATGGGGACTTCTTAGGTGCCGAACACGCATCCGAAACCCCAAACTGCTCCAAGGGTGGGATGAAGGTAGGTGGGGTCATGCCAACATAAGAGTCCTTATATATATATATATATATATATATATATGTATATATATATACATATACATACATACACATGTCCATATATATACATACATACATACATACATACATACATACATACATACATACATATATATATATATATATTATATACACATAAGGACCCCATAATGCTACCTACCGTCATCCCGCCTCTTGAGGCCTCCAAGAACCCCAAACCTTGAACCCGGCGTCGAAGCCGAAAATCCCGAAATCCTGGGCCCCAAACCCTACCCTGGAAGCCTCAAGCCCTGAAGCCCAGTTTAGGGTTTAGGGTTTAGGGTTTAGGATATAGCAGCCTGAATAATTAGCTATATTCCTCCTTAGGTTCCTTATTGTAATTCTACAATAAAGGAGCCCAAAACCCTATTCTAAGTATGAAGGCCCCTACATTACTCTGCACAAAAACAAAAAAACCTAAGAGCCAACCCAGGGGCTTTACAGACATAAGGGACTCAGGGCTCTACATGGCTCTGTAAGTCTTTATAGGGTCTAGGGTTTAGGGTTTAGGGATACGGGTCGGTATATGGTTGCACCAGTGTTTAAGGGCAGGTTTTGGTTTCGCCGTAGGCAAACATACTTGCGAGATCGAGTGTACGCAGGAGGGAGATGGTTTTGGGTTTAGGGGTTTGGTAGGGCCTAGGGGGAGGATGGTTCAAAGGGAGGGTGGGTGTGGAGGGGCATGATGAGCTTTGCAACACTTACAGCTTGAGGCCAGATGGTAGAGTCACCACTAGCAGTTCGTGGTCGGGCCAGCATTAAACATCTAAATCTCTGTTCCTTATTGAGTTTATGTACCCATAGAAATGTTAAATGTTACCCAACAACGACAGAGCCCTACGTGGCCGTCTAAATACTTACAACCCCAAGCCCTTAACGCTACACCCGTTGACACCAGCCCACTAACTCTGAAAGCATCATAACCAAGGCATCCTTACCACAACAAGCTACATAACATAGGTGCCTTAATAATTCTACAAGAGTTTGAGGGTATATTATATTCTAATTCTGAAAAGGCATAAGGAACTCCCAAAAGCCTATTCTAATCATTAAGGCCCCGACGTTACTACCAAGAAATCATGGAAGCCTGACGGGTCAGATTGGCGTTGTCGTATGTGGGGCAGAGGAGGACCATGAATGTAGCAGGAAGCTCTACTTGGAGGATCATGGGACGTAGTAAGTAAGGTTGTAAGTGACCTAATTGGGGTTAAAAGTATAGTTACCTTAGTTGTAACCCTACTTACTAAGTCCCATGATCCTTTAAGTAAGCATCAGAATAATGCGAACTACTCAGGCCCGCATATTCGGCACGAAGCTTCAGGCCTTTGGAAGCGACAGATTTAAAGTTGTCGTTTTAAACGACCCTTAAACCCTGAACCCTAAACCCTGAACCCTAAACCCTGAACCCCTAAACCCTAAAACCCTAAACCCTAAACCGTGTTTAGGGCTTAGGATTGAACTCACAGCCCTGCTGTGCAGATAGAGGCACATCGCTTGCCGCACTTCGGGCACTTGACGTGAGTGGCACCCTCCTGCACAGTGGCTGTAGGGCCGTAGGGGTAGTTCTCTAAAGTAGGGTCCTGTTTTAGGGGGTTCCTAAAAGGGATCTATAAGGGCTTCTATAGAGTCCCTATAAGGGTACTATGTAGGGTGCTAAGGTTTAGGGTATGCAGCAAAGCTAGCGAAATTGACCGGTCTGTTGTGCTCGGTGTCTCGCCGAGGTTCTTGGCTTCTGGAACATCAAATCTAAACCATGGTATAGGATTCCTGTAAAGGGTCCCATAAGGCAAACTATAAGAATTACGATAAGGGTTACTATAACCCGTTGAAAGGGCCCCATAAGGGAAACTATGAGAATTACGATAAGGGTCACTCCCCGAAACCCGAACCCTAATCCCGCGCCCCAGATCTAAGCAAAAGACCCGAGGCTGGCGCTGGCTGCTTGGCATTCTCGTTGCCACAGCGCGGGCAGACAACCTGAAAAACCTGAGCGTACAAGGCGTAATATAGCGGCCTTAATAATTAGAATAGGATCTTGGGGCCCATTAAACTATAGTTGTAATCAGGAACCCCCAAATAGTATTGGTAATTATTTAGGCCCGCATCGTAGGCTTTAAGGTGCCTGGCTTTTTGGGGCTTCGGCGATATGAGATGTAGGATCTAGGCCCTAACCCTAAACCCTAAACCCTAAACCTAGGGACCCTAAACCTAGGGACTGTGGGATTCTAAATTTCAAGCTTCAGAAGTCTTGGAGTTCAGGGTTCAGAGGTTGTTTTCAAAGGTACAATACTACCATACGGAGCTGTAGTGGTTGACTGATGTGCAATAGAAAGAAAAATCGAAAATGGCGCAGCTTCCTTATAGTGTCATGTAGCTTTTTGTACTTGTATCCAAGTTCGGAGGTTCTTGGGTCTAGGATTTGGGGCCTGGTGGGTAACGGTTTCACAAGAGTCCTGAAAGCTTCCCTAAGCCGTCTTTTCCTCGAGCCGTAGCTACAACAAGGACACCACGATATAAAAGTTGTTATAGCATATTGTCTAGGTATTGCATCATAGTATATTGCATTATAGTACGTTCTATCCGCTGTCCCTGAAACCGACGCCTGGTACCTGAAAGTAAAGGCCAAGAAGCAAAACTGACTGAGCCACGAGCCGACTGCTAAGGTCTTTCTTGGGTGTCTGTCAAGGTTCAGGGTTTAGGGGTTTAAGGTTTGGGTGTTTTTAGGGTCTGGGGTTTAGGTTCTAGGGTTTAGGGCCCAGGGTCTGTGGGGTTTGTGTTTGGGGGTTTGGGGTTTAGGGATACTACGGGTCGAAAGTTGTGTAGGTGTCCAGGCTAATGACAAGCCCTCGACGACTTTATAATCGTACGCCTGCATGGGTCAGGTTGTGGGGCATTTGGCTTTAGGGTTTTCCAGCTACAGAGCCAGACCCGATCCTCCTGGAAGTGTTCAGAGGTTGTTGAGACAAGAACCCTAAACCCTAAACCCTAAACCCTAAAACCCTAAACCCTAAACCCTAAACTACCCCAGCTTTATCCCGAAACAGCCAGAACAGCGAAAAGCCAATCCTTTCGAGCCAGGGCGCTTTGGGTGGCGCTGGCGCTTGCGACACTCCCTGCGGAATAAGTTCTACCCAACATATAGTCTCCATTGTAGTTCCTTTTTTTGGTTTAACCAATTATATATTAAGGACTCTATAAGCTATCCCCAAAAAGGAACTACAATGGAGACTATAGGTAAACCTTAAACCCAAAACCCTAAACCCTAAACCCTCTACACTCAGTTGCTGGTTCTGAGGGAATGCGGAACAGAAGATTCCTGGCTTCCTGGTTCTAAGCCTATACGAACTATGATAGGACCCAACAAGAAAAGCCTGAACCCTAAACCCTCGGCGGCCTGCAACTCTAATCCCTAGATCCTAGTCCCTCAAGGCTTTGATGATCTTCGTCAAACACCGCCCACCCCACCTTTCCCATGGTGTCAGCGGTACGCGTGCCATTTTCCTTCTCCGTACTGCGGGGACCCGCTCGTGGCGAACAACCCAAGTTGCAGACATGTGGATGTTGCATACAATCCAGCACTGCTACAAACCCAGTCAGAAACCTCAAAACGTAAAACAAAGTACCCTAAACCCTACCTTGGGAACCCTTAACCCCAAAAAAAACAGGTTATATGTACGTAACCCGTCTTTTCAACCACTCCTGACCAATAACCCGGTTATCTAAACCAAAACCCGGTTATTCCTATAAAACCCTATTTTTAAGATGAAGCTTTGCGATCGCCACTGAGGCTTGGTAAGACTCTGATTCGAATCTGTCACAGGATTGATGGCTGTCGCTGAGTCGCAAGATGTAGTTTCCAAAGCAGAATGCAACAGCTTTACCAGATCTTCATCCTGCTAGAACATCCATGTGTACTTAGCTTCGCCAAGCCCTGAACACTCGCAACATCACACGAGAGATGGGCTTTTCATCCGATGCCTCGCTCCAAAGTTCGAGAGTCCTTCAAGGCCGAGCACTCAGCTGATGCACCATTGCTTTGGAAGTTTGGAAATTTGTCGCTGACCTGTATACTGACTTGTGTGCGTCCTGCCAGATTTTGAGCTCGGACCCTTGAAGGGGATCAGTCGCACTGTATAGGCGAGCAGTCTGCATCCAACAGTAGAAACTTAAATTCAGGTACATATGTAGAACCCATGCTATATAAAGGTTCTACTATGGATGCTAGAATCTTCTAGTAAGTGTTCTGCCCTCAATGTGGATGTTTTGCTACATCTTTGTACTGCTATCTATATTGCCTCTCAGCTTCCTCGACCCATGGCTAACGAACCTCGTTCAGTGGATGTGACCGGCCTGGGTCAGCAGTGGGAAGCAGATTCCCAGATCAGGCAACGGCTTCGTGATGGCGGCTCCCTTCTGCACCCCTCAACTGCAGATAAGGTGCTGATCCGAACCGCTTCTTTGAATGGACCTGTGCTGAAACCTCTGTGTGAGATGATGGCCAAGATGCGGGATGTTGTAGATGACGGTAAGATCCCGCCGTCGCCAGCGGTAGAGGGTCTGCGAGAAGAGGTGCAGGCAGTTATGGGCATGGCAAAGCAGGAAGTGACTTTCGAGCAAATTGACAAAGCAGCTTGGTCGATTCGGAAGTTTGTAGCTTTCCTGAAGCTCAAGATCCGGAAGAGGCAAGTTTCAACGGAAGCTTTCCAATGACTTCATGATAATTTTTTCTATATGCATCACGATCGAGATTTCTGATTTGCATAAGCATGTCCTTGGGTGTAAGGTAATGATCAAGCTCAAGAGAGCCTTTCAGGATCCACAGTTTCAGCAGCTCCTTCTCATCCTGGACCCCAATTTGCAAGAACCTTGATCTGATTTTACATGAGTTTAATTGACTTGGCTTCTATTGCATTGGCAGGGTTTTCTGCTTTCAATCCTGTTCTCTGTTCTACATAGGAATTGGTGGATTACGTGAACTCAATGAGAAGATCCTCGGATTCTTCGGGTTCTCTGGACACTGATGTTCCTCGGCTCGATGGTTTGCAAGTTCTGTGTTAGCGCGGCAATCACTGAACTGATGAGATTATCTCCGTGTTTCTGAGGCGGGTGATGGCGATGAAGATGAGGATGAGATAGATGAAGCCCCAAGAGAAGAAGCTGCAGCCCCAATCACAGCGAGCCCTGCAGCCCCAAGCACAGCAAGCCATGCAGACCCAAGCACAGCAAGCCCTGCAGCCCCAAGCACAGCGAGCTCTGCAGCCCCAATCACAGCCGGCCCTGCAGGACCCCCAACAACTGCTAACTCAGAAGCCCCTGCAACTCCTGTGCCCACGCCTGCTGCAGCCACAGCCATTGCAGCAACATCGGCAGGACCCACAGCCGCTCCTGCAACTTCTAGTGCAAATCCAGTTGGGGAGGTGATCGTCATTCCGGATGATGTGGTGAAGGCTGAGCCAGTCGACGAGGAGCCCGTTGCAGGATTGCCAGCTGCTGGGGCTGCTGGGGGTGTTTCATGCGGGGCTGTTGTGCCGACACCTGTGCGTGCACCTGTGGCTACCCCTGCGGTTGCACCTGTGGCTGCACCTACACATCCACCTGCAGCGGTTCCCGTGGCCCGCACGCTTGTTTTCGACCCCGTGACCCCGCCGACAAAGCCGAAGCAGCATCTGTGGGAGGGTGGCAGCTCCTAGTCAAGATTATAAGCGCTAGCACATGTTGGTGTCCCAAGTGCTTCCATACAATTGCGAATCAGGTGGCTCGGACCCTGCTACGCTCAATCGTCGGCTGTTAGAGGCCAGGGAAAGGCTACGACAGTCCCATCCTGAATTCTTCGACTTAGTGCTTGTGTGTGTGAGAGAGTGCATGACAGTTATAGAGTGAGGGAATGCAAGTGTGAGCAGTCACTGTATATCTGATAGTGAGGTTGCGAGAAAGGAAAGCCAGCCCAGCAGCTGGTGCTACCCCAACTCCTCCATCGAACAGCACGAATCCTTCAGGTGGGAAATGATTGCGATGTCACTCGATTGTGGTTTGATATGTGATTGTACATAGTCGGCACGCAGGCTCTCCAGGGGCCCTGGAAGGCCGTTCAAGTTTCGACGCTCCGTCGGAGGAGCGGGCAAGCTTTGCCACGGACGACACCCAGGTGGTCGACATCACGACAGTCCCTGACCCACCCGAGGCAGTGCCGGCGGACACCAGTGACATGTCTGCGGAAGATCAGCGACGCGCTTATCAGGGTGCAGTGGGAACGCCGACGCAAGTCATGCCCGGAACACCTGATCATGAGACTCCCAGCTCCAAGGTGTGTGTGTGTGTGTGTGTGTGGGCTTGGTTTCTCTGTGTGTGCATCGATTAACATTTTTATGCTAAGCTGCAGTGCCTGGAGGTGTTGGGCGACACTCCACCGGTAATGCGAGCCGACCAATTGTCTTTGAAGGGCAAGAAGAAGAAGGGCAAACGATCTAAGAATGGCAAGACCGCCAAAAAGAAGAAGGCTGCTAAGATGGGTAACAAGAAGGCTGCGCCTTTGTCGCCAAGCCGGCGGCGAAGGAGTCTGCTTCGCCAGAAATCCAGGTCCTCGAATGCTCTCTCTGAGAAGGAAGCTGCAGCAGATGATGCCAAGCCGGTTGATGCAGGTTTGGAAGCCAAGCCGGTTGATGCAGCTTTGGAAGCCGAGCCAGCCCCGGAAACGAAGCCAAAGCCAACAAGGGGTCGCAAGCCCAAGCATGTGGACGAACCCAAGCATGTGGATGACAGCAAAGTGGATGTAGGCACGAAAAAGAAGCCCAAAGCATTGCCGAAAACAGCAGCAAAGGCAAAAGCAAAGGCAGCAGCAAAGACAGCAGCAAAGAAAACCCCAAAGGCAAAAGCAAAGCCAGCAGCAAAGCCAGCAGCAAAGCCAGCAGCAAAGGCAACAGCAAAGGCAACAGCAAAGGCATCAGCAAAGGCATCAGCAAAGGCAACAGCAAAGGCAACAGCAAAGGCAACAGCAAAGGCAACAGCAAAGTCCAGGGCTTCCGACAAGAAGCGGGAGCGCTCCACAGGCTCACTTGAAATCCAGATGCCAGATAACCTCGACGACTGGGCGGACTTGAACGCAAAGGTGCTGTTGACTGCCTTCGCCAGGGAGTGGTTTGATCATAGGCATGATCAGATGGCTGACTTCAAGCTGCTTATGCGTGAGGCTTTGCCAGGTGCACAAGAGCATGAGGCTGCTACCTTGAACATCTACTGGACAAGGTTTTCCTGTGGAGTTACGATCAAGTCTACGAGGAAGGATCTCGGGTCCTACCACCTGCCCCACAAGACCGTTCCGCCAAACCTTCGGTTGGCCGTGACCATAAGGTGTGCTCTGCTGATCGCTGCATGCCTTATTAAACACACTGGGTTTGTTTCTTTGCAGCTTCATGCTCGTGTTGCCTGAGTTTCATGAGATCCCCTTCTATCCGAGGTTCAGTTTCTGGACATGATGCTGTCCGAGACATGCCCAAGCACTGGGAAGACCTACCGGGACCTAGGAGTCGAGACGCTCGTGGCCCTCCCACTCGTCACCGAGGTCTATGAGAGCTTGAAGCAGGACGGAGCCGAGGTTATCGACGAGATAGCTTCTTGGGGTGAGGCTGCCAAGTAAAGGTCCGAGAGTGCTGTGAGGTGTTATGATGATTTCTGAAAGACCTGGGGTTTCGGGCTGCATTTTGTGTTCTGCCTTCGGCTCGACGAAGTCGAAGAATTTCAAGTTATTGGCGATGCTACAGTGTACAAAGATTGTGGCTGCATAGTCAGTCGGGAGCTGTTGTGATTTGGGGGTCTGGGCTTGAACTCAAGAGGTTCGCAGGAACCCGGACGGGGACACAATGTTGCTCCCTGGCGAGGCTTGCTGTGTCGATGTACTTAGTGTAGCAGCCAAGTTGTGGCCTGTCCTGCTGCGGTTTGTGATTGTACCTAGCCGCTTTAGAGTCTTACCTCAGATCTTAGCTACCAAAAGTGTATACACTTATATGTTCATGTGTGAATAATATTATATATATAGAGATAGTGAAAGGGTTGCTTTGCTTGAAATACGCACTGCGGCAGGGCGAAGTGCCACACAACCGTTCTTTCCCGAGTATCTTCTGGTAGGCAAGAATGCCAGGTTAGCGAGAGGATGTGTGTGTATATATGCGTGTACATGGACCCTTTGCAGCAAGCCCTTTCTATAGCCCTATATAGAAAGATTCATGCAGATGCACATGTGCATACAGCACAATGGAAAACTCCTCTTGCCTGGGTAGAATCTTGTCTTGGACCGGCAACAGACTTTGCCTCGCGGGGTCAGCAGAGCTTGTTCAGAGGCTTGAAAAGGAGTGTATCGATCGATCTCTGCAGAGTCAGCCTTGCTCACACAAGCGAGTGATTCATCTCTGCATGAGCCGTTATCGCGACAGCTACCATGGTCTGTGTCTGTTGCACTCTTCCTTTGCCCAGGTCCCTACTGCCAAGCCTGCGGTGCGCCGGAAGGCCTGGTCCCACAGTGCAAGCAAAGGCGTGCACAAGACGCTGAAGAACAGTCTGCTTCGCCATGTTTAACAATTCAGCTGCAGTCGCTGAGTGATGCTTCATACCAGCTGAATAGTGCGAAATGGTTGATTGCAGCACTCCATCGTCAGATTGCAGCCTGATCTTCGCAAAAGCAGGGCCCAAGACGAGTAGAGAGCCACCTGCCATCCCATTGCGATTGGGAGCATGCTTTGTTTAGATTCTCTGGTGTGGCGATTGAAGGAGCTCCAGGTTCCGAAGGCAGGGCAATCAAGGTACAGGTTTAAGATTCGTGTAAACAAGCATTGTTTTCTGCATGGTTGCGATTGACTGACAAGGAGTTCGTGCTCTGCCTCCTGCTGCTCATATGGTGTTATGAAGACATCGGGGAGGACATGTGCAATCCAGGTGGCACACACACACACAGTTCCCTCACGAATATCTAAACAAAGATAAATGCGAAAACATAATTGCACCCTTGTCGCAGGACTTTCACATGCTGGAGTTCTTTGCGGGACGTGCCCGAGTCACTGAAGAGTTCCGCAGGGCTGGGCATCTCACTGCCAAATTCGATATCTTGTACAACACAGCTAAACCTGGCAAGAGCAACTTCATGGACCTCACGCAATCCAGTGGATTCTTGCTGCTCTATTGCACCCTAAATATACATATATATTGTCGTATGTAGATGAAGATGTGTGTTGGCAGCAGTCCTGTTTGATTTTGCTTTCACCAAGAACCTCTTAGGGTGGCTTGCTTCTACATCTTACGGTGTGTGCCGGGGGACGCTATATGCCTGTTCGCTGTGAAGTGCTCTTCATTTTGCTCTATGAACTCGGGCACAAGCAAAAGAACAGCTTGCAATGCGATGGGCTGGGGCAACCTGCCTTCGGTGCGTGCAAGTAACAAACTCTTGGAGAGGCCCGCTCTTGTCGATTGCAATCCCTTTATCTAGACTATAGCCCTAAGTTTTTGTTCCACCCTATAAACCCGAAGCCCTGCCTAAGGCAATCCACCTTAAACACCTTACAAAGCCCCATCGATCTATCTAACCTATATATATATATACACATATTTATCGTCCTCATCTACCCCATAGTAACACACTTTTGCCCTATATGTGAGCACTCTAACTTGTTAAAGCCTCGAAACCCTGAACCCCTGACTCTGTAAAGAGATCGAGACCCTCAATAAGGCCGATCGACGCAATCCACCAAAAATCGCAAAGCCCTGGATAGCATCAGCCTTGAATCGAGAAAATGCAAACCCGTTCTGTGCAGGACTGTGATGCTGCTCTACCTGGCTACGAGCAGAGGCTTGACGTGGCTGGTGGAGCAGCCCCGAAGTTCTGTTCTGGATTTATATCCAACATTTCGGGCCTTGTTGCTGAGCATGTACAGGGTCGCAGGACATCGAGCTGATACCCGACTGCAATGTAGTCTATATAGTGTGTGACAGCATGTGCTCAGTAGATTCAGTTACTAGTTCGTTTGATTTTATGTTGCTGGCCGAGGCTACCCGTGTCTGTTGGTGGATGAGTCATTATGGGAGCCCCACGCCGAAACGCCAGTACATGTGGGGCAACTCCACCTCAATCTCCAGCATCGACAAAGGCAAGCTCCAAGTCGTGGCCTCGCGACGTGGCAAAGGTAGTGACAAGAAAACTGCTCGGTATTATACCAACAAGCATGGCAAGAAGTGTTGGGAAGGCACACGATTTCTCAAGAAGACACAGTGCCTTGCTTCAATCTCTTTGCAAGCCTATCAACTGTGCTGTGCTGCCACGTTGTGCATGTGTGTATGTAGAATGCCAATATATGTGCTAGTGAATCTGAGGGAATATCCCTTGGCCTTCGCGCGGAAGCTTGTGTCTATGAACGCAGACTTGACGAGATCCTCGTGTGGCCAACCTCTGCTTCCCGATCCTTTGCCAGATGCTCTTGCAACTTTTCAGTCGATGTCTTGGGGCCAAGAGTCTGAACTTTGGCAGTTTGTGCAGCTCTCTGAAGTGTTTTTGTACATTAGAGGCAGCAAGCGCCTCCGTATCCCAGAGAAGTGGGCACCGTTTATCCCGAAGGCATTTCCTGGTATCTCCTAGAACGTTGTTGCTGGCTTCTGTACGGGCATCCACGCAAGGGAAATCTCCTGTGGGAAAGACAGACCAAGCGAGAGAGAAAGAGAGAGAGCGAGAGAGTGACCTCTAAGCAAAGCAAAGCAAAGAGAGTAAGAGACAAAAGAGGAAGTACCCAAAGACTTTGTTCGGATCCTACAGGGTCATTATATCGAGATCTATGACAAAATACTCCGAAGACAATTCTGTTAGTGGATGCCATTAGCTGGCCATTCGGTATACAAAGATATTGCAACACTCAAATTGGGGGCGGTTTGGATGCTAGTTGCAGCAAACATAGTAGAAGCAATATATAGTTGTTATGAACTGCTTAATTCAACAACAAAGGGTCAGAATTAGGAAGATAGAGATAGAGAGAAAGAGAGAGCTCACAGACCAAGAGATATAGGAGAACCCAGTATGTACAGTATATATCAATATAATACCCTTGCATTAAGCCTTGTACTATTATGTTCCCGTCATATAGTATATAGAGACTGCATCAAACAAGGAAGAGAGTGCAAGAGCTATCTGGATTATCGGCGATTGAATCGAACGACCCAATCCTGATGAAATGATTCCTAGTTGTTTTCCGAAGATACACAAATCTCTGTGTTTCAGAGAGAACGACCCAGTGACCCCAGATAGTGCAGTAGATACGGTATATATTGTCTACCTATCTATCTATCTACCTATCTATCTAGCTAGCTATCTATCTATCGATCTATCTATATATATATATATATATCTATCTTTCTATATATCTATATATGTGTATATATATATATATATACATATATAGTATATGCTGTGCTTCTGCTGCTACTGCTGTTGCTACTGCTGTTGCTACTGCTGTTGCTACTACGACCATGGCGAAACTACTATATTATACTATATATATATACATATATATATATATATATATATATTTTTCTAAGATATATATATATATAGATGAATTTATATATATATATATATACATACTGTTTCTGTCTATATACATGCATATATATATATATATACTGCTAGTCAACTATATATACTCTTATACTCCGTCTGCTTCGATCTACTACTCTATATAATATATATCTCTTCCCAAGTTCTTTACTAAAGATATTAAGAACCCGGCCCGTGCCCCTGGAAGGAACCCCTCAGGACTGCCTTGGAGAGCCCAGTGTCATCACGACAGTTTCGGCCAATGGCTCCCAAGAACCTCAAATGAGCCATTCGGAATTCCTAGTGAAGTAAAATAACCTATATATCCTATAAACCCTGTATATAATATAAACCCTATATAAGCCCCCCACAAACCCTAAATAAATGCTTGGCTTCGAGTGGTCCTTGGGAGGCCTCGGCTTGCTTCTAGTTTCCGCTGGGCTGCTCCTAGGTTGTGACATTTGGGTAGGCATTTCGAGAATAAGGTGTGAGCCTCGAATACACTTCAGCTTCGGAATATTGAAGAAGTGTATATATCTCAACATAAGTGATCCTTTGGCTTCGGGACTAAGTTTGCTGCCATATATACAGATATACAGCTTCGGAAGGGGGTCTGGATTCTAAGAGGCCTTTCGGCTTGTATCTTTGTTGGGTTGCCTTGGGTTGAATAATATAAAGTAGAAGCCAGAAAGTTGGAACGTGGCTGAATCGGAAGATTATATATAAAGTGCTAGGATCCCCCAATATCCTGTTATATAGATTATATGAACATGATTCTAATGATGTTCCAACTTTCTGGATTCTACTATAATTGATATATTTGGACTTTCTACGTTTCGAGATTGCCTTTGTGGTTTTGGTGTTCTTTAGTTTCTGGATTCGAATGCAGTACTCGATCCCTTTTAAGCTGGTATAAAGGGTCTGCGGGATGGGTTGCGGGATTCATGGTGCTAGGCGGGCTGCGGGATTGTAGGCTACGTGGGCTGCGGGATGGGCCTTCAGGCTTAGGTTGGCTACGGGCGGCCTTGATTGTTTTCGAGCTTGGAACAGAAGCTTCCCCGCTCTGCGGGCCAGGTCTGCGGGACGATCTGCGGGATGGTCTACTTTTAATAGAGTTTATATAGGCCACAAAGCTGCGAAAAACTAGGGTATGAGCCCCGAACCCGCAATAACCCAAAATTAACCCATAAGAAACCCATAAAAACCCATAAAAACCCAAAAATTAACCCGCGAGTGCGGAAAACCGGGTTTTCCCCAACCCGTGTGTAACCCATAATTAACCCGTGTGTAACCCGTAAACACCCGTAAATGATTTATGGGTTATAGCCACCCAGGGTAGATGCGTGCCGCAGACACGTCCAAACCCATATATCAGCCCAGCTGTGCAGCCACCTCGGAGGGACGGATCCAGGAGAAGTTATGCTGGAGTTCGGAACAAAAGTCGTTCAGATTCGGATTAGGCATGATTCGTTGATTCTGCAACCGTGTAGGTTTGCTGCTTGAAGGATTCATATGTGCTTTCGGCTTCAACTGCTTCTATGACAGGCTTTTTTGGGCCTCGAGGCTCCAGGGGCAGACGCGCAATGGCGGGGATGCTAGTACAGTCGAAGTGCTGGAGTTGCTCCACGCTGGATGAAGGAATCCAGCATGTCCTATGTGATGCTAAAAAGGAGGTCGATGATGAGGAAGCTCGGCTTCTTCGCGAGATCGAGGCAGGTTCGTGGGAGTTGTTAAAGCTCCCAGGTATTTAATGTACGAAACATCCAAGGCCCTATAAACCTGTGCAATGGCTATATAGTTTACAATGCTCCCAGTTGGTGCTTCGGATGGGTTTCTGTTTCGGATGTCTGTCAAGACTGTCCTAATTCCTCTATCTATATAGACACATTTATGTCTATATATATATATATACAAAAAAATAAATATATATATATATATATACATATATATATATATATAGATCTATATATATACTAATATAATGGTTATATATATACTATATGGAATATATATGTGTACTGTATAGATGTTTACAGGGCTGCTGAACCCTGAACCCACAACAAAACATAGCAGACTCCCTGCACAGCTGTCAGCTCCTATACAACCTTTACAAAACTCCTGTATGTAATGCCCACGTAGACATAAGGCCCCTTCTATCCTGCTGCTCTCAGGCACTCGAACAACAAGCTCTCCGTGCTGCAGAAGCTCCCGAGGCTTGTTTGGAATGGGTTGCAGGCAGTAATCTAAAATAGCTTTCGTGTGAGGCTGCTGGGCTTCAGCTTGCTCTTCCCGTTGTGGCTGTGGCTGAAGTCGAACCCCCTGCTGATGAAGAGCTCCAGCTTGCTACCCCTGATGCATCCATGCAAGAGACGCTCCCAGCAAGTCCCTGAGAGTGTGCCTGTTGGGTTCTTGTGTGCATGCTTCTGTTCAAGCTTGAAACACTTATGTAAACACAGTCTAAATGGCTTATGAGCTTAGGCTTCTGCAGAGCAGCTGAAGGCTGCGGGCTTGGGTGGGCAGCTGGCGGGTGACGAAGATGGCATCGATGGTGCCGCAAAAGATGATGAATACTTAGCAGAACCTTTCTTGCAATCTCTGAGGCTTATCATCAGTTCAGTCCTGGAATTATAATGTACCAAGTTGCCCACCCAGGTTGAAGTCAACAGCGACGACGAGTATGCAGCGGATGACCATGAGGACGACGAGAGCTTGAAAGCCAAGCTTAGCGGCACCTTGGGCGTGAAGCCAGAGGTCGATTCTGAAGGGTATCCCGGGGTTGCAAAGCGCCCCATTGCTACGCCAGCCCGGGCTTTGGAGCCTTGTGTCAAAAGACAGCGAAAGATCCCCACCCGGCAGGACAGGTTGCATGCCAATTGTTGTTTTCTAGCGATTCTAGGTTGTAGAAAGGTGATTGTATCCCTGAGCCCTAGAAACCCTAAAACCCTGCCCTATATAAATATATATACTAAGACGGATGCTTCGATTCTCGGCAGGAACGATTGCTGATTGCGTCGAAAGCACGCATCAGCAGGATGTGTGCTCCCAAGAGCCGTCGAAAGGAGCTCGAGGTGCCTGACTTTGTCAGACAACACTGGCTCAGCAACAAAGAGGAGATGGGTCGCTTGCTCCTGGACTTGAACTTCGACAAGGCTTGGCCTTAACTTCATGCTTAAAAAGTCTTATATAGATGTTCCGCTGAGCAATCTAGTTAGGGCCAACCCCAAAGTCTGTATTGTCTGTGACAGGGCAAGTTCATCAGCCAGCTGGAGGTCATAATCTCCAAGAAGCAGAAATACACCATTATCGTAGACCAGGGCTGGTTTTCAAAAGATGAGATGCTCAATGAGCTCAAATGGTCTCAGCTCTGCCCCCAAGACGTTGATGTGTGTTTTGCCGGTGCATGTGATCATGAGGCTCAGGCTTGCTGATGTGTTTGGGTCCTTACTGAGGAAGAGAGTGCTCGCAGCGATCAAGTACTGCGAGAGCCAACCAGACACTCATGTCCGGCACGAATCCAAATTAACAATTATCCCGAATAGTTGCTTTTCCTCATATACCCCTTTCCCTGCGTTCCGAGGCAAAACCTTTATGACAACGAGAAAGAGTTCTGGGTCACTTTGCGGGAAAAGGGCACCCACAAGCAGCAGATCAGCCACGAAGAGAAGCACAAGTCCCTCCAGGCAAGCAGACTTAGAAGCTCCTATATATGAATATACACCCTATATAGATATCTAATCCCATAACATATACACCCTTGCTAAAGCCCGACACCTCAATAAGAATAGTTGGTAGTCCGAAGTGTTCCAAATTTGTTATTGGGATGCAGACATGATTTCCTTCCTTCCCTGCCACAAACTTTCTGTCTCCGAGAGGCCAAGGAGGATGGGCCGGTGATGCCGGAGAACTGCTTCCTCGGCCTGGAGAAGATGAAGAACCGGGCTCTTGCTGATGAGAAGAAGTCTCTAGAAGAGAAGCCCATGGATGATAAGTTCACGCGGGTTGGATGTTGCACAAAATTTGCTCATTACTCTGTGTATTCTATTGGCTTGCCTTTGTAGGTTAGATAGCTTTCTCTTGCAACCACTTCATCCCTGCAGACGGAAGACTCGCTCAAGAAACTGAACGACTCGATCTTGCAAAAGGTCAAGAAGACCAGGGCTTTGGTTAAGGAGCTCCAGAACGACTATGACCCGAACAATGCTGATGTAAAGAAGCAAGCAGCTGAGTATTCCCAACGTGTGCAGAATGTTTAGTTACACACTACGGGGACACAAGCCAAACAAGCCAATCCATATAGCCTAGGGCCATCGACACTTTGGAGAAGGATATCCGAAGCCTGGATGACTTGTACGACAAGGGCCAGGAGCTTGTCATCGGCAGCGGGCTGCAAGGTGGTTGGAACGAGGAGCAGCTTGCCTTAGCTGATATGTTTTAAAATGAGCTGGGACTTCATTTCAGCTACATAAAATATATGTATTTCGACGGTTTTCGATGTTAACACGATACACATATACAACTCTTATGTGTGTATATATATATATAGATAGATACACTCTAACATATATGTATATATATATATATACACATACATACATCTGTTTGTATATGTATATGTGTGTATATATATATATATATGTGTAAGTCGATATTTATTTACATAGATTCGAAAGAAAGCTCTCTCTCGCACCCTCTGAACTTAAGCCCTTCCCACCCTCTGAACCTTAAGCCCTATATATAAGTAAACCCTGCAAAAGCCCTTAATTGAACTGTCACTCATTCCCAGGCTATGGAAGAAATCCGAAGCTCACATTCGAAATGCTACTTTCCAGCCCTGAGCTTATCGGTCGTGCCATTTGCCAGTCTGCTGCTCTATGAACATCAGACCAATCCACATAAACTGTCGTTCGAACAATTTCCAGGTGCTCACGCGCCACGGCCACCGAGCAGAAGATCCGGCTGCTTGTGCCGAAGTTAATTTTCAGCTCGGAAGAGGTGCTGTGGGATTTTATTGTGGGTTTGATTCAATACAATTTAATGGGCCGATGAGTGAAGACCAACCTTATGCAACTCCCGTTTACGAACCCGACATATGTACGAAACCTACCCACAATGATGGATCCCATGTCTGCTCATATGTAGACTTTGGACTTTGCATATTTACAGGGCTTGAGGGTTTATTGTGGTTGGGGTTTCAGGTTTCAATGTTACATCTAAAAAAAAATATATATATATATATATATGTTTATATAAAGGGCTGTATATCTATCTATATATATATATATATATATATATTTATATATATGTTATACAGCTTCTATATGTATATGTAGATATATATAGAGAGAGAGAGAGCGGGCTTCAGGGTTTCAGGGTCTCTTTCTCTCAGGGCTGTAGCTTGAGGTGTTCCCCAAACCCTTTCGATTCCTCAAGTCCTATATATTACAAAAATAGTCAATAACACATTCTTCAGTTCTTCAAACTAAGAGTTTACAATCCGCCAGAAGGGCGGCCCTACAACCTCATTTAAATGTGAACCCAGCAACTCCAACCCCGGAAACAACATCCCAAATTAAGATACTCTCCGACATCCGAGGACATCCGCAAAGCCCTTCTTCGACAAGCAAAAATCGCAGCCGAGAGCCCCCCCGAAATCGAAGCCCAGCCCGAAGAAGGCCGCTGCCAAAAAGGCGGTGGTGAAGAAGAAGTAGAGCCTGTGCTCTTTCGAGGGCCGATGGCTGGGGAGCTGCAAATTCGGTGCAGTTCTGTTGTTGCGCAGCAAATGTCATATCAGGTGGGATCTTCTCAGTCTACATGCATCGACCATTGTGTTCATCAGCAATTTATCTTTTTTTAGGGCCATTGTATATAGGGAGTGAAACACAATCTCTCTCTCGCTCTCTCTCTTTGGTCACACGTTCTTTGAACTTGTACTTTTTGTGTCTTGGCTTTTCAATCTTAGCTGCTTCGTGTTTTCTTCATGCTTTGTAGAATCTCTCTTTCTCGGTCACTCTTACTCTCTCTCTCATATCTACCAGGATAATTACAGACTGCTGGGTCCAATAGTACTTCATGCTGCCGGGCAACAGAAGGGTTTCAGCACCAGGGGTCTCGACTCAAGAGTCCTGTCCATGGGGATGACGTTAAGGCTTTGCAGCTGTGCGAAAAAGAGAAATCGTTGCTTTCAGTTTGAGTGTTGGACGACATCTACCTGCACTCTGGGCACAAGCTCATTCTACATGCCAGGTATCAAGCCTGGCAAAGCTCTCCGAGGGCTGGCAAGTGCAGTCGGCAATGGAGTCGGGTCCTGAGTCGGAAGGATTGGGACACTTCTATCGGTCTTAGTTGTCTCGAGTATCATTCTGGAAGGTGATTTGCCATGACTAGAAGCATGGGCTCAAAATACAGGACATGAGCATCAGAGGTTTTCGAATCGTGCCACGTTCGAACACACCCGCACTAGGTCACTAGCTAGCCTAACCGGGGTTGTTAAACTACAGTTTTAGATTCTAGATACGTTCAGCACAAACTCTCCAAAAAGATACTGGCAATGTATGCTTGATTTGTCCGTCGATGGGAGATGCAAAACTCGATCCCTCTGCTGGCTCGGACGATGAACTACTAGAGCTGTTGACTTGTCATCGTTCAGTGCTCTTGGCTGCAAATTCACGCTTGTCTTGATTCCGTCGCTTGAACAGTCAATGTGTTGAGCTTTCCCGATTTCACTCAGGAAGCTGAAGGGCCTTTTCCCTGGCCCAAGAGACCAGCCGAAGCAGCAAAGTCCAAGGATAGCCCAGAATGTCGCAGGCAGGCTACGTTGATATCCAACTACATGCAGCAAATGACAGGTCAACCCCCAGCGCGTGTTTGGCCAAGCAAGTTGCAACGGTGTGAGAATCAAACCGGTACTGCTTCCGTGCCCGTGTGCACCCCTGAGTGCGAGACTGTTGCATGCATCTCATACAAGCTTCCAGCTGCTGGAGTCACGCCTGGAAAAGTTGTGCGGCACTGTTCGAGGCAGTTGGAAAAGCTGTTCCATGAGAAGGGGCCCCTCATATTTAAGATAGGATACACACATGATGCGATTTGGCGGTGGACGAATGCACTTTATGGTTATATTCACGATGCTGATGGATGGACTGATATGATGATCCTCTACGCCACTGATGAGCCCTATGGTCCTGGTATGTTGGAGGCATGCCTGATCGAGAAATTCGCGAGCCGCTCCTTCGAACTATCTTGTTGGTTGGACCATCTCTGGCCATCTCTGTTTCTCTCCTTCTTTGCTCTCTCTCTCTCTCTCTCTCTTCCTTCCTCTCTCTCTCTCTCTCTCTCTCCCTCCGTCCCTCCTTCCCTCCCCCTCTCTCTCTCTCACTCCCTGTTGCTCTCTCTCACTCACTCACTCTCTCTCACTCTCTCTCTCTCTCTCTGTCACTCACTCACTCTCTCTCACACTCTCTCTCTCTCGCTCTCTCTCTCTCTCTCTCTCTCTTCCTCTCTCACTCACTCTCTCTCACTCTCTCACACTCTCTCTCCCCCTCTCACTCACTCACTCACTCACTCACTCACTCACTCACTCACTCACTCTCTCTCTCTCTCTCTGTGTCTTTCTCTCTCTCTCTCGCTCTCTCTCTCTCTCTCTCTCTCTCTGTGTCTTTCTCGCAATCTCTCTCTCTCTAACCCATGTGTCTGTGTGATGTGCACTGATGCCCACCCAAGGCAAGCCTGGATGTCGAAATGTCCGATTGGGCGGCGATACCATGAACTCGGAGCAGTCTACCTCGCTGAGCAGATATATGACATATGTAGTGTACAAGTCTCTGCAAAAGCCTCCCACGTGCAAGCGGCCATCAAAGCGCTGCAGCTGTGGTGTGCTAGTGACAAAACAGTGTGCTTGACTGCATGCATGGGATTGCTTCCGCATGTTCGAGCTGTGTGACTGTACCATGATGTGTATATATATATATATATACTATATCGCAAACCGCTCGCCGAGGCCAGCTACAGATCCGCGATACGTACTGCGCGGGATGTGGTCTCAGACATCGGGGAACAGGCAGCGGCAAGTAGCGGAGGCCTTGTGGAACTAGCTCAAATTTCGGAGTTTAGATCAGAGAGAGATGGCTCCCGGCTACTTGGGTGCAAAGCTGGTCTGAGTTTGCCAGTTCCACTGTCAATGCTCGGGGAGGAAGATCTTGCCTTCCCCATTTTGAAGCTTCGAGACTGGGGACAGTTTCTTGCTGACAAGCATTGTCTACACCTGCTGGTCGGCTTGACTAAACCCGACTTGAAAAGAGAGCAGGACATATGTGAAGAATTTTGGGCCAAATTCAAGAAGCTTCAGCCGGACCACCAGATCTACGAACGCTTTGCTCAGCACTCAATGGACCCAAAACTGACGTTTCCATTCGTCTATCATGGCGACGAGGGACGGGGCCGTCGCCGTTCGCCGTTTCTGGTGGGCAACTTCCACAGCTTACTGGGAAAGGGCACTCAGGAGCAACGTGGACAGCCCAGGCCATATCTCAAACTCCGGATGAATTTTAGGGACAGCTCCCTGATCACGAGACTTCTTCATTGCGCAGTTCCAAAAAAACTGCACCAGCGAAGCCACATATTCGATGCTCTTATGGAGAGCGTGGCGACAGAATCTGAATTCATGGTCAACACTGGTGTGGTGCAGAATTTCACAGGACGCCGAGTCGAGGGGATTTGTTGGGCATCAATTTTTTCACTTGCTTCATTCCTCCTGCTTCCCAAATAGAGAACCTTCTTACATTTGTGACAATTAAGGCTTTATATGTTTTGCTGGAGTGGCTTCCTGGATTCCAGGAACAACCGAAAGAACCTATGTATCTTACTATAAATTCTAGATTTTGCCCAACAACCCAGGTTTACTTCGCAGTGATTGCTGTTACAGGGGATTGGCCCTGGCTTCATCGCAGTGGCTGTCTTGCGAGGAGTTTCAACAACATTCCGAAAAAAACTGGTGACAAGATGACAGGGATTTGTCACCGCTGTGCCGCGGGGACCGAAGGCATACCCTGGGAAGTTATTCATGAAAGGAGTCCTTTGTGGCTTGATACAACCTTTTCCGTGTCTGGATTCGCAAAAGTGCCTGCTGTCGCTCGGCTGCTTGGTGTCCCTGGGCAGGAGGAAGGCCTCCTGAGATTTGACTTCTTTCACGCTTTCCATTTAGGCGTGGGCAAACACTTTCTTGGAAGCAGCCTTGCCCTGTGGAGCACTCACTTTCCGGGAGGCAACGTGGATCTACGAGTCGAAGCTTTGGAGGCTGCCTTCTTTTCATGGTGCCGAGCAAACAAGGAGGTTCCTGTGATCACACGCTTGACGAAAGAAACACTTCAATGGCCTTCGACCTTAGACTTTCCGGCTGCCAGCTGGTTCAAAGGTGGAGTAACAACTGTGATGTTCAAGTTTCTGGCAGCAACCATGTGTCAGCAAAACTGGGCCCACGAACCTATGCTGGAAAAGGCTGCCGAGGCCGTTGTAAGCATGAACAAGTGTCTGTCAGCTCTTTATGCTTCGGATATGTTCATCGAGCCAGGGCGGGCCGCACAAATCGCTGAAGATGGGCTTCGGTTTTTGCGCCGGCTGGCATGGTTGGCCAAGCAAGCCGCCAAAGAGCAGCGTGCTCTTTGGCTGCTGACGCCGAAAACTCACGTCATCCACCACTTGCTGCTAGAGGACTTATTGCTCCCCGCCCGACAAGGCATTTGGCCGATGAATCCACTGTCGTGGAGCGTCCAAATGGACGAGGACTTTGTTGGCTTCAGCAGTCGACTGGCGAGGAGGGTTGATCCTCGTACATGCTCGAAACGCTGCATAGAGCGATATCTTTATGCCGCTTACGCGCAGTACGTCAAGGCGAAGTACATCATACCGCGCTCATGATTGCTCGAAGTTGTACACACTATAATACACAGTTAATATAGCACAAATGTGTATGTGTGTACTGGTATGATGTGCATTTTGAGCTGCCCTCTGGGCTCCCGACTGTCTATGCTCAACGATGGCCACGATGGAGAGCAGAAAGGCCGCACCGGAGACTTCGATCAGATGTTACCCTTTTAAACTCCAAAGCACCTCCGACCCGATCAAGCTATGGGATCTTTATGGGATCTTACAGGGTTTCAGTTGAGGGTATGTTGGGTATGCTTTGGCTGTGCAATGGGATCAAAGCGAGGATGAAAGGCTGCTTGTGTGGATGCCTGAAATTCAGGGTTTTTGCAAAACCCGGTTTTCCCGTAAATAACCCGGTTTTGTCCCATAACCCTATTTTTTATAGGTTTCAGGATCTCCAGGTAAATTAAAGATTAACCCTAAACCTAAACCCTAAACCCTAAACCCTAAAAATTAACCCTAAACCTAAACCCTGAACCTTGAACCCCGCACCCAAAAATACCAACACCCTGGGCTGAACTCTGATCCTGAAAGAGCCGACGCAAGATGAAGCTCGAAATCCCTGCCAAACCCAGGATTTATACAGGGTTAGGGTTTAGGGTTTAGGGTTTAGGGTTTAGGGTTTAGGGTTTAGGGTTTAGGGTTTAGGTACCTGGAAACTACTGTAGGAGCTAGAAGGGGATATTACTACTCTTAGCCCTAAGCCCAAATATCTTCGGCCTAGGGTTTAGGGTTGTTCAGGGCTTCTGTGCAGCCAGCCTTACTCGATAGAGAGCTCTTGGTTCAGATTTTAGGGCTTTGGGCTCGGTAATAATAAGGTCCCCTTATGGCCCCTAGTTTCTAGGTACCCGAAACCTGAAAGCACTGTATAAATCCTAAACCCTAAACCCTAAACCCAAACCCAGGGGTTGATTCGGATTGGCAGGGCCTTTGGCTTTGGTTTTGCGAATTTTATCCCTCAGGGCTTCCCTCAATCCACACAAACCCTAACCTTTCTAAGGACTTGCATGGGGTTTAGAGTTTAGGGTATCGGGTTTAGGAAATAGGTAAGAGCATAATATAAGCATCAGAAAGGTAGGTTATATGGGCTTCAGGTCTTGGGTGTTGCTTCTTGGGGCACCTTCCGTCCAATATCTAGTGTTTCGGTCGAGCTCTACTGGCCAATGCGCCTCGGTTATGACCCGTGCAGGATAGTAGCAAGAGTGTTTGGGGCTGGCCTTGATCATTTCTTCCCACAAGACCCGTTGCTCCCCTTACACCCTACACCCTTCCCTTTACCCGACCTGTAGCAGGTTCAAGCAGCTGTCAAACAGCATGTCGGGGTCCTGGCACACAAAGCTTTCACAGACCCATGATAGTGTAACCGAGAGCTGGTTCGTTAAATCATCGCAAAAAGTACCAGAAGAAGTCATGAGGAGACAAACACGAATAACAGTTGGTGGCACAATACACATGATCGCCATGACTGCTAGACGTAGTATGACGATAGCAATAACAACAATAACAACCTTCATACTGTTAGCAACAGTCAAACATAATCACAAGGACCCGCAACGGCACCTAAAAAAAACACATGACAGTGGTCTGGATCATGATCAGGACTAAGACCAGAGCAGGATCACATATAAATAAATAAATAAATAAATAAATAATATATACAGTATATGCAGATACAATATAAACACCACACACACACACACACACACGTGCATGCTTCGCTTCGCCGAGGTCGCCTGCTCATCCTCGATCTCCTCCTCGCTGCGCAAGAAGCGGCAGCTACAGGGAACATCCTTGCGGCCTCGATGTCGTCGTTTAGGCTTTTGGCGCTGGGCCTTTAGGCTTGGAGGTTTAGGGTACGAACCCTAAACCCTAAACTCCTAGGCTTTTGGGTTTAGGGTTTAGGCTTTAGGGGTTGAGGGATTTAGGAACCCCCACACCTTTAACTCCTGCTTTGGGGCTTAGGGTTTAGGCTTAGCAACCCTAAACCCTCAACCCCTAGACCTTTGGGGTTTAGTCTAGGGTTTGGACTTTGGGGTTTTGGGTCCCCCTGTTCATCCTCGAAGCGGCACAGCTTCCAAGCCCCAGCTCAATGGGCCCTGTAAACCCAAACCCTTCGCCACAGCGGCCTCGAAGACTTAGGACAGGATAGTGTTCCGTAATCCTTCGGGTAGGTTCCTGAATAGAAATATTCGTTTTCGTAGAACATACACCCAAACGCTATTTACCGTCATTGAGGCCCCTGGCCCCTGTTCGCCCTGACCTTTGGCCTTCCATTGTAGTTCCTTCAATTATGTATTCAGGATCCTATAAGGTAACCCCACAAAGGAACTACATTGGAGATTATGAGTAGGTTGGGATGACGCAGGTTTCAAAACGGATGGGCTTCATGACGCGACGGGCCAAAGTCTCCAAAGGGTCCGACGGATTGAGAATGCGAGTCTTTAGATAAGCAGTATGTAACCATGCTGTTCTCACGGTTTCACTTCTCTTAGTCTCCATAAAACAAAAGCCTGTAAATAACCGACCATTCACCTTAAACCCTAAACCCTAAACCGTAAGCCCTAAACCCCTAAACCCGAAAAACCCTAAACCTGTAAACCACCAAACCCAAAACCCGTAAACCCTAAACCCATAAACCCCTAAACCCTAAACCCGTAAACCGTAAACCCGTAAACCCTAAACCCTAAACCCGTAAACCCCTAAACCCTAAACGCCTAAACCCTAAACCCCTAAACCCTAAA